GCCGTAGCATCAAATTGTCTTGATCACAACTTCATTCTGACTGCCTTTCATTACAGAATTGAAGGGATTGGAAGGGACCTCGAGAGATCATCGGGTCCAAACCCTCTTCCAAAGCAGGTTCCTTAGATCAGGCTGCCCAGGTAGGCGTCCAAACAAGCCTTGAATATCTCCAGAGAGATCTGGTCCTTTCAGGTCTGGTCCTTTCCCTTCGTATTTAAAAATCCCGTGTATCAGCTTCTCACCTTGACGAATGCAGCTCCCACCTTTCTCTTGGAGCACCTCAACGACCTTTCTCAGGTCAGTTTTAAGTGATTTCAAGCCTTTTCCTTCCGATGCACTGCTCCTGGGGCTGAGCAGCAGCACGTGGAGCACCAAAACCGAGTTATTTCTCAGGCAGAGCTCTGCTCGATGCACATCGGGAGGTGGCACCGGGCTCTGTACGTGTTCTCCTCCCAAATTGTGCGTGGCTAACGATACCTAGTCAAATGAGGGCCTGCTGCTGGTACTTCTTGTGTTCTTCCCTGCCTGGAAATGCAAACGAGCCTCACGGTAATCAGCAGCACCAAGCTGGAGTTTGGCTGCGACGCTCGTTAGCTGCTGTCGGGAGCACCACTAATTGTGTCCCCGTCTGATCTGCTGGGGAAGGACCTCTCGGTGCTGTGGCTGCAACTAAATCGTGACCTGCCTGGTGTCATCACAAGAATGCACTTTTAAATAAGTTTTTACTCCAGTCTGATTTCTCGGCAGCAAAAATACCCATCTGTCTGCTCCTGGAGGAAGAGAACGGCGTCACTCAGCCCAGCAAGGTAGGAGGTGCACCTTGCTGGTGTCTTCTGGTAGGAGAAAGACCAGTTTTGAAGCCTGGAACATCCTCTTTACAGGAAAAATGTTGCTTAGCTTCTAAATCAGTCGATAGCAGAGACTTTTCTGTCTGCTGGGGGAAGAAAGCTGTCTTTTCTTCGCCTTCTACCTCATCCTCAGTGCTCCAGCTTCTTGGCACAAGGCTCGGTGCACAGCAGCCAGACAGAAATCATCAAGAGCTCCAAAGAAAGCAAAGCCAGAGTGGAGGGCTCGCTGGATTACAGCCTCCTTCTCCCCGAGCCCCCGATGGTACCCCCGGTGTGGCTCTTGGTACACGTGGCTGTGCTAGGTAGGGCTTTTTGTACAGGGTTTCTGGTTACCAGGGGGTTTGTCTCGGGGAAATTTGCCATTCTTGACATGAAACCGTGGAGGGCGTGTGCAGAACGACTTAAAAATATTCTTTCTCGTCTGATTTCTCATCTCAGCTGGCTTAAAATCTGGTGGAGGAGCAGCGAGCGAGGGGTTTTTTAAAGAAAAACTGAATTTTTAACAGGAAAGCGGGCTTGTGTGGCGTGTCCAAAATAAAACCCAGTAAAACCCAACACTGGTTCCTGCTGTCGGATCGCTGGGAGTTTGGTCTTGCAGAGCTTTGGGATTCAGTGAGAAGTTTCTCTGCTCAGGTTCTTCGTCTGGAAGAGGAGCTGTAGAGGAGTTTCTGTAAGTGCCAACACGTGGCAGGGATCCTTAGAAGGCAGGAACTTGCTTTCTGGTAAGACTCGAGCTGAGATGCACGTAGAGAAATGCATAATTTTATTTTTCCCTGAGGCTTTTTAGCTTTTTCCCCTGTCTCCTTCTTTGTGGCTGGGTGCTAGTGGTCACTCATATCACCAGTCCTGCAAAAATATCTTCAGCGAAATATTTTTAGCTGGAAAACTGACTTGCCCAAGCTCATAATTTATATTAATTTCAAGGAAAACTAATGGAGGAGATCTATTTTAAGGCTAAATGTTTGCCAGGAAAAAAAAAAACAGCCCTACAAACAAACTGGCCATCTGTTGGCCACGATGTTCACCTGGGATTTTGGGAGATCTGGGCGTGTTGTCGTACCCTAACAGATTTTTTTTGTTCCTTCAGGCCTGCAGCAGTGGGTGGCCCTCTGCGGGGCCACGTGGGAGGATGAGGGAATGGGAACTTGACCCTATAAGATGCAAATCCACAGCGGACGGTTTATTTCTGCCTTGGTTGGGCAGAATTGAAAGGTTTTGTGTGTTTTGGTGTGTTTTTTTTTTTTTCAGAATAGGCAAAACGCTGCGGATCGCTTTTTCTTCTGGCTGAAGAAACAATTTCCTACGAGCTCAACTCGGAACAATAGGGCCTTGATCTTGATCGGGGCCTCTGGATGTCACTGTCATGCTAATAGGGAGCACGCTTGGTGTTTGCTGGCACGTTTCAGGCCCTATATTGGGCGTCTGCAATCAGCTGCAGCAAAAATTCCCTCCTGTCTCTCTCCTAGCAACCCCTTCTGAACTGATATTTCAAAATAAGCTCGCTTTCCGTATCATCATCCAGACAGTTTTGACGCTTGCTGCCGTGAAAATTCTCTTAATAGCCTTGGGACTGCGATAATTTATCTCCGGGTCCTCAGGACTCCCTCCTGGTTTCTGTGGTCGTGATGTGGGGATGCTTTTGAACTCCTTATCGGTCAGAAACAGCACCCGATTTGCCTCCAGATTTTGCTGCTTTCTCCTGGTTTGTGCTCTGACTGTGCCAAAAAAAGGTGAGGGTTTTTTTGTTGTGCCCCTGGCTTCCTGAAGCCCTGTGCGTCTCCACAGTAACAACTCTCTTGGATCGATTACTGGCGTGTTTGGAGCAGGATTCATTTGGGATTTGCTTGTAAGGCTTTCACCCTACAGAGAAAAAAAAAATCCATCTTATCTGAGCCAACAGTTAGGGCAGAGTCTTGACCCCAAGAAGCATTGCCGCCGTGGAGGAGCTTTCTGCTGTTCCCCAGCACTTTTCCCCTCTGCTTTTAGACATTTCCTTGGTACAGTTTATAGCTTTATAGCGACAGGGGAGGTGAAGAAGCCTTCAGGTCTGCCTCGAGTCATCCTGGAGCCCTGGCTCGTGCATTAAATGTTTCCTGGGGATTGTGTGCACCAAGGGAATGGTTCTGAAGACCTTCATCCCTTCTGCTCACATTTTTCTAGGCTTCTGTGTTGATGGGAGGGCTTTATTGCGAAGTTCACCTTGCTCTGAGGTTGTCCATGCATGTTGATAAACAGTTAGGGTTGCCTCCCAAACCATATTTGCATCCCAATCCATGTTCCTTGTATGAATATAACTCACTCTTCTTTTTTAATAGGGATTTTAGGTCTTTGTCACGACAGGGAGAACCATCAAATACAGCACCGCACCACTTACTAATCGCTTTTTTTAAATTTGGGAACACTTGGACTTGAGTCTAAGTGAGGAAAACTCCGCTTTTATTTATGGCCAGCCTCAACTCGTGCAGCCTGCAGCTGCTCAGGAGCTCGCTCCGAGCAATCCAGCTCGGAGAGCTGCTTTTTATTAAGTGGCTCTTGATTGAGTCCTAAGTAAAACCATTCGCGTTTCAGCCGAGCTGCTCGGAGTGTTAACATGCTTTGGTGTTAAACGTCTCGCTCCGGGGCATCATCACGCACAAGGGGTTGGTGTCGAGCCCCTGTCTGAGTGGGGAATGGTTCTCCAGTGCTTGTTTTTTCTTTTCAAAGGAGCTCAGACTCAGTGGAGCCTGTATTTAAAATGTCCTGCCGTGGTGCTGGGTGATGTGAGGAGATGCGGTGACGAGTGTCCCTTAATGCCAGGTCTGAAGCAAGCTCCTAAGCTCTTCTCCCCAAAGCTTCAGGGACGAAGCAAAGCCTGGCTTTTAGCAGAGAAATCTGCTAAATCTGTCACTGGAGGTGACAGCCGGGTGCAGTGGGTGCCTTGCTGTTTAAACTCCAGGGCAGAGCAGCTTGTGCTGAAGCAGGAGAAAGCTGCTGAGCCAAACCAAACTGCTCCAAACTTCTCCCTCCTCTCATTGAGAAGGAGTGGGGGAAAAATATTTCTGCATCCAAACCCTTCTGGAGCTGGCGCTGTGGGAAAACCTCCCCGATCTCCGTTGTGCTCGAGGAGCTGTCCCAAACCCTGCTGGACCCTGCGGCTGGGACGTGGATCTCCTGCACATGAGTAGAGGCTGCCAGGCTGAATTGTTCCTCCTGAATTTGGATTCTCTTCTTGTTGTGTGATGCATCCTAAGCAGGCTTCAGAGATGGTAATTGCACCGAGAGCTTTGCTCCTGGGGGTAGGTCCCAAGCAGTTACCTTCTGGTGGCTCAGGGATGTGTGAGTGTGTTGCTTGGTGCCACGAATGATGAAGGAGCATCAGAATTACTACTGCAAAGTCCAAGTTTCTGCCCAAAATCTGTGCCTTGAGCAGCAAGGAAACTTCTTCGCATCGGGGGCAGATCGTGGTTGTGGAGGGGGACCTGGCTTCGGTTCCTTTTAGTCCAGGGGTTTCTGCCAAGCTTGCTACAAAGAATTTAAGCGTTTTTTGTTCAACCCTGTGCTCTCGCCCTCTTCTCAAAGCAGGGTGGCCTCAGGGGTGCGGAGCTGCAGCAATTCGAAGCTCAGATGGGAGCAAACCTTTGATTTCTTCCTCTGTTTTCCTGATGCTTCCCTCGCAGTTCACGTTACGATTATTGATTACAGGTAATTGCTGTAGGACGTTATTCCCAACCCATTAACCCTGATTCACAGTAGAACCCTTCAAGTTTGAGTGCTGAAACATCGCCGCTCGTTGTCTCGGCTGCGCCTTGCTTGAAACGAAAACCTTGTGCCTTGCGGTTTGCTCCTCTCATTGGGGCAGGAGAAAAAACATCAATGTGAGTAGCTAAAAGAGCGACTTTCTGCTCCGAGGGAGGCAGCAGTGCTAACTAGAGATTGCTCAACGCAGGGGCAGGGATCCTCGGGGCGTTGAATTGCCTCTTGGTAACGTCACCGTGGTGGTTTGGTGGCTTGGATGTCGCTTCGATGTGTCAGGACGTGTAAATTGCGAGGTGCAGGGTGCTTTGAATACCTGGTTCTACGCAGTGTGGTGTCACGGGCTTTTAACAGCTTACCTGGCTCTGAGTAAGAGCTTTGTTTCGCGGATGAAACGTTTTCCTTGACTTGATTTCTCAGTATCGAGAGCAAACACGAAGTCACAATCCTAGGAGGACTCAACGAATTTGTCGTGAAGTTTTACGGACCACAAGGAAGTAAGTACACAACCCAGCCCTCTCCAAAGGCAAAGTAATAATTCCTGGGGGGGGGAATAAGGTAATGAGACCTTCTTTTGGAGCCAAGGAAGGGATGAGCACATCCAACTGGGGGTAAAACCTCAAAGGGTGGTGGTCCAAGAGGTCAGCCCTCGAGAGGGCAGAGGAAACCCAACCGTGGGCATTAACACGAGTCAACCACGATGACTGAAGCTGAGCAGAGCTGGATATTTGCTGCCTTTCCTGATCACCAAGCCCTCTGCCGGGGCTTTCAAGCACTGCTCCTGTCGATCCTCAGCTCTTCTAGACCTGGCTCGTGAGCTTTGCGTCCCCACCATCTGAATTTTTTGTGGGCTTGGCCATTACGATGGCTTTTCTGGTGACGAGGTCACGAGTCAGGTCTCCAGCACGCCTTAATTTAGTGACATCTCTGAAGGTAAGCAGATAATTCTGAGCTCTGCTTTGAATAAGGCTCCGGGGCCTTTGTGCAGAGGTTTTCTGCAGTACCAGTTAAATCAAGTACTTCTTGGGAGGCAGTACAGGAAAAAAGCTTTTACTGTAGGAGGTTTGATGTGAAATCTTACCCCCTGCTGGGGCTAAGTATTCTTCCAGAGATACGTTTTGCTTAATGCTGTAGTTCTATTTATTCTCTCCTGAGCTACGAAGTGTGTCTAATACCTGTGTTTCTTTCCTTGCAGCACCCTACGAAGGTGGAGTATGGAAAGTTAGAGTCGACCTTCCTGATAAATACCCTTTCAAATCCCCGTCTATAGGTAACCAGTTACCAATTTCACTCCAAATCTTGTTGCTCGTGCGGGGGAGGTGTTGCTGCTTGCAGGTGAAGTTGCTCTTTAAGTCTGCAGAACGTTTTTTACCATAAACTTCCAGATAAACTGCTCAAACGTTGAGCAGAGAGGACGTTTGGTCTCCTGGCTGAAGGGCTAGGGGGTGGAAATCTGATTTCATTGCACGTTTGTGTACTGATGAAGTCTTCCACGTGCTTTTTTTGTTAAATCTGATCATGGGTAAGGTGTGAGTGGGGTTGGAGATCTTCAGAGGTCCCTTCCAGCCTTGAGATAACAACGTGAATGGTGGAGACTGCTTGTATAAAATGATTTGTGTAGCGTGGAGAGCAGAGGCTGCAGTGCACGATCATGATCTCGGGGTTCACCCAGCTGCTGGGACCTCTTGTCCAGGAGTGGATGGAAATCAAGGCAGGAGCTGAAGCCTTTGTTCACCTGGGGTATATTGCGTGAAAAACTGGAGCAGGTACGTGAGGAGTCAACATCTCCACTGTGGCTCGTGAAATAAGAGCTGGTGACTCGGTGACACGGCGTTTCTCAGAAGGGTGTGCTCGTGGCTTCAGCCACCAGAGGACTCCGAAGAATGGAAAAAACAGATCTGGGAGAATGATGTGGGAACTCGACTGTATGGGACGGACGAGATGGGTCCCTTCCAACATCAACATCCTGATTTGGAGCTGATAAGTGCTGGCTGCTCGCTTAAAATAGGCTGCTGAGCTACGGGTGCCATCTATTTAAAATCTGGGAGAAGTAAACCCTCTCGTTGTGAACGTCCTAAAATGAAGCCTGAAGTCACAACCTGTGACTTGGTGCCGGTCACTTTCCCCTCTCCTCTCCTCGAGTGCCATGAAGAGGTGCAGATCGGGGCACTCTCACGTTGGCAGCCTTAAACGTGAGCTGGCTACGGGTAATTCTCAGGGGAAAAAAAGGTTTTTGTTGTTATTCCTTTATTTTTTTTTCTCCTGATGTTCTCCCTGCGTGAATTTGAAGCGAAGACCGCTGGCTTTAATGCAGAAAAGCCAACTTTCTTCCCAGTAGCCTTATTCCAGACTCATCGGACCCTCTGGCGTGCTCCTGCTGTGCTGTGAGTCCCCGTTTGTGCAGCTAAAAACCCCTGCAGCTCCTGCTGAGCTCCCCAGGAGGCTGCCTCTTGCTCTAGGGGTTGCCTTTTGGGCAGAGCCTCGTGCAGCTTAGGTTTCAGGGCGAATAAACAATCGGTGCTGGATCAGGAGATGGTGGAGAGCTGCTGGGGAGCTCTAGGACCCGGGCAAGCTCCCAGCCAGCTGCAGGAAAAGGTTTGTTTTTCTTTGTCTGGTTCCCATTTCGGCTGCCCCAGCCCGGCTTATCGGGACATCCAGGGCCCAGCGACGTCTCGGCCCCTTCCTCTGGGCCGCTCTGATCCGCGCTTCTCCAGGCACACTTTGTGTTCACTGCTGGTTTTTGGGCAGTGCTGATAGCTTCAGGGTGAGTCTCCAGCCCTGCTGAGTCCCGGGAGCAGCGCTGGGTGCAAAACAAGCTCAAAAATGAGACAAGAAAAAGCGAAATGAGATTTTTTTTCTCTCCCTGGTCAGCTGGGACTCGTTCCAGGGAGCGCGAGCATCCCAACCCTCGGCCAGCTTCAGCTCTGCTTAGCTTGGGCTCAGAGTTACGGGGAGGAATTTGATGTGGGAGTCCCTGATCTGTAAAGAAGGGGGGAAGTGAAGGATTTCAGGGGTGGAAGAGCCCAGAAACGGGCTGAAAGGTCGCCCAGAGCACACGTGTAGCTTGTTTGCAGCCCTTCTGTTCTCAGCAGCGCCCAGATCCCGCTGCTGCGGTGCCGTGCGGAGTTCACATCAGCTGTCTCCAGTCCCTGGGATGGATAAAGCGTAGAATCCAGCAGTTTTTCCTGTAATCAATTACGCTTTTATGATGAAGCTTAAAGCAGAAACAAGGAAAGCTGCAAGAACTGCATTTCCTCTAGGTCTGCAGGCTAAAAAATCTTCTTTCAGTCTTGGAAATCCTTAATGCAGCCTTAAACACGGCGTTGGCTTTTTTTGCAGCAAGTAACACGGTGCCTGGCAGCGTACCCGTGGGTTCCTGAGAGCTGCTTCTGAAAAAAAATGAGTGCTAATAGTGGCTTTCTAACCTCTCCAAGTTGCTTTTATCCCAGCATGGTTCTGAGAGCGAGGTAGGTGAAAACTTAGCCCGGCGCAACTCGGTGTCCTTTGCCAAAGCGTGCCTGGCAAACCTGAGCAGAAAAAGGTTAGAAAAGTGGATTTGGGGCTTGTGGTGGTGCAAAACTGTTCTTAAACCCTCAAGGAGTGGTGCTCGTCCTTGCCTCCGAGGGTGTTTTGGTCTCTCCAGGAGTCTTTGTGTGGTGGCTCTGCTGCTGAATCTCAGCCCCCTTGTCCCATCCACAGCTCCCTTCTCGAATATCACAATCGCAGAATCATTTGGGGCGGACGGGACCTTAAAACCCATCCAGTTCCACCCCCTGCTGTGGGCAGGGATGCCATCCTCTAGATCAAATTCCTCAGGGTCTCGTCCAACCTGGCCCTGAACACCCCCAGCTCCTCTGGGCAACCTGTGCCAGGGCCTCGCCACCCTCTGAGTGCAGAATTGCCTCAAACCTCTGATCTAAATCTCCCGTTTTTTACCTTAAAACCGTTCTCCCTTGTCCTGTCATTATCTGAACGAGCAAAAAGTTGCTCCTCATCTTTATCAGCCCCCTTTAAGTACTGAAAGGCCACAGTGAGGTCACCCCAGAGCCTTCTCTTCTCCAGGCTGAGCACCCCCAACTCTCTCAGCAGAGGGGCTCCAGCCCCTGCAGCATCCTCGTGGCTTTCTCTGGACCCCCTCTAACAGCCCCACATCCTTCTGGTGCTGGGGGCTCCAAACCACGGATGCAGGACTCCAAATGGGGCCACACAAAGGGGGACAATCCCCTCCCTGCCCTGCTGCCACCCCTCTGGTGACACAGCCCAGGACACAGTTCCCCTTCTGGGCTGCAGGCACTCACTGCTGGCTCATATCGAGCTTTTTCTTCCCCCAGAACCCCCAAATCCTTCTCCACAGGGCTGTTCTCAATCAGTTCTTCTCCCAGTCTGTGCTCAAGTCTGGGATTTCCCCAGCCCAGCTGCGGCACCTTGCACTTGGCCTTGTTGAACCTCATTTATTTCACGTGGGGCCGCTTCTCCAGCCTGTCCAGGTCCCTTTGGATGCTCTTCCTTTTTGATATCGACTTCCCCACTCAGCCTGGTGTCATCTGAAGAATTCCTGAGGATGCCCTCGATCCCCTCATCGATTAGGATATTGAACAGCACCAGTTTTCAAGTTTTCCCTTGTTGACTGATGCAGTCACTCCACAAGAGGCCACCACGTTGATCAGGCACGATTTGCCCTCGGTGAAGCCACGCTGGCCGTCTTGGATCACCTCCTAAAACACGCGTGGCATTTATTTCCTCTCCTCCTCAGGCTGGTAATTATCGCTGTGGTCTGTTAAACGATGCCACCCCAGGGACAGCACTCTCCTGGCAGCACAAATCATCCTGGGATCTGCAAAATGAGCAGTCACGGCAAGAGTTTCCAGGGCTTCATCACAGCCTGCGGTGGCTTTTTGGTGTTTCTGGCACCACCTGGGCTTTGCTGCGTGGATTCCTTGTCACTTTGGTGCTGGGTGGCTGAGAGGAAGGGGAAAAAGGCAGGAAAAGGGAAATGTGCACGCTAAAAGAACAGAAATGGAGCGAGGTGTGGGGCTATCGCGTTGGCTCGAAGCTCGAGTGCTCCTTTGGAGATTAACCCTGCTCGTGATCCCCAAACATCGAAGTCTTCAGGATTTAAAAAGAAAAGGACTCAGGCAGCTCGTTGGAACAAAACCAAACCCTGAAAGATGCCCAAAGCTAACCCCTGAAAGATGCCCTGTTACTTTCTGGAGCTGCGTGCTGTTTCTCTTCATGCTTTTGTCACTTCACGTCAATATCCCTGCTCTTACGAGGCCACGAAGTGCTCTTTTGCTGGATGTTTTCTTCCTTTTTTTTGCCTTCTAGACAATCCCCTTTGAGCTGCTTCTGATTTCGGGAACCCTGCTGGCACTGCCTCGCTGCCGTCCCCTTCGGGATTCGGTATCTCCAGGGGAACTCGGTGCCCGGTCTGTTCCTGCTCTTTCAAAGGGGAGCTGGGAAGTACTCGAAGTTACTGTGTTCAGCTCCCGTATCACGAGAACACTTTGTGTAAATGCTGCATGTTTTTAATCTGCCCGTACGCCTGCCAAGAGCCGGAGATGAACGCGGCACCGGAGCCCCAGGAGGAAGTGCGGCGATGTCCTGCCCGAAAGGCTAAGAGCAGGACAACAGACCCAGGAACACGGGAGCCTGAGCTCTTACCTGGAAGCCTTTTGGCATTTTTTATTGCTAAAACTCAGCAGAAGCATTAGGCCAGCACCGAGTCTCCATTTCCTTGATGATCAAACATCAGAGCTGCAATATTTGCGCGCAGAGGCCTCGATTTCTCCAACAACCCGTGTGCATTCATGCACAACTCTTTTTTTTTTTTTCCTCCCGCCTCTGTCCCCGTTCTCTGCAGGTACCTCGCGTTTCTATTTCGCCTCTCTTCGAGGCGTTTTTCCAAAGAAAATGGGAAAATCTCACGTGCACAGAACGTCCAGAGGCACCTTATGTACGTGTGTGCCTGTAACGAGATGGTGGCAGCCAAGGTGGGAACGAAGCCGCTCAGCTCCAGCCAGGATTTGCCACATCTCTCCTGGCCTGTGTTTAATTTCTTTGAACCACAGCTGCTATTTTTACTCCCAGCTCCTCTCTGGATTGCTTTACGCTTTGCTCCTTAGAGTTTCAGGACTCTCTTTTCACCGGTGACCACTCCGAGCTTGCTCTTCCTCCTGCGTGTTGATCCTCGTGACCCGTGAGTGCTGTGAAAATCCTTTTTCTTCCCCAAATGCCGAGCTTTGTGCGTGGGGAAAGACGAGACACCCGAAGGTAATCTGTATCCCCGGCTCCGCTGTGGTCTGACACCCTCTGCAGCTCGGGAAGAGACAAAATTGGGGAGGTGTTTTCGAGTTTTTGAGCCTGGCTTGGCACGGATTCACCACCTTCTGTGCCAGGCTCTGGGCATCAGGTGACGGTGCACCTAAGCAATGAAACAAATTTGATATTGGGCAATTGCTTTGTGTTTTTCCAGAGCTTGCAGCTCTCAGCCACGAGCTCCCCACCTGGTGCTGCTGCCTCTCCCCTCCCAGAAAGGGACAGCTCAGCCCTTTTGGGCAGAATTTACACCATTTCCCACCCCCGACAGCCGTATTTTTCTGTCCTGCTCTAATTTTTCCGTCCTGCTCTTCCCCTCCTTGAAGCTGCTGCCCAATTATTTATGGCATTGTTTTGAAAAGCCACGAAAAGCCGAGGGTGGTAACATAAACTGTCCTGCTGCTGCTGGCGAGCTGATGTTACGCAGCCCCTCACACCCTGACGGATGCCTCTGCGGTCAGCACGCAGCCTTGCGCTTGCCTCAGTACCCTAAAGGAGCTCCTAGGCCCTGAATTTCATTAAAAAACATGAAATTCTTGTAATTCTCAGCGAGATCTCTGACCTGAGAGCGCTGGGTAAGGTGTCCCAGTTGTCCCAGTGTCCCCACGCGGGGAGGGCTGGGGCAGCAGCCTTGCTCTCGTGCCCTCTCCTCCGTCTCCCACCAGGGTTTCTCAACCCGCGGTGCGTGGCGTGCTCGTGATCGGTTACACAAGCAGGCAGGCCCTGAAACGAGCACAGCGTGTTTTTTTTTTTTGTTGTTTTTTAAAAAAAAGTGCATGTTCTCTTGCCGGCTTTAGAGCGTTTGGGGGGAGGGAAGCACTGAGCATTAAATTTAGACTAATCTTATCTGGCTGTTTGGCCACGTTGCACAAGTGTTTGGAAGCGCGAGCATTTGGAAGGCTTTTTCCCATGAGCGAGGTTGTCCTGGGGTTAAAAAATGGGAGGAAAAACGCTGCTCTTGACCTCGTTGTGCTGTTTTAAGGCCCTTTGGCATGCTGATCTCTGTGCACATCGTTCTGCCCCGTGCTTTGGGTGCTCTCCCAAGCCACGTGGATGTGATGTGGTGCTTAAACTCCCTCCATCCTGCTTCGGAGAGCCTGTAACCACCTTCCTACCTCTTCCTTACCTTACCAGGCTAGGGAAGTCCCTGATATAACTCCATGCCGTGCTCTGGCACATCCCTCAGAGCATGTGGGACATCCTTTTTGCAGCTACCACCAGCGTGGGTCCGCCCGTGGAGCTCTCCCCCTGCTCAGCAAGGGGGCTGGGATGCACTCCTTGCTCGTTTTCCCCCTCATTTTCCTCCAGGTGTGCTTCAGCACGGCTTGAAAGAGCACAAAAAGCATCTTTTGGGGATCTCTCGTGCTGCTGCCCAGCTCGTCTGGCTGTACTTTGAGCTTGGAGAAGCAGTGGGTGCTTTTTGAGGTGCTTCTCGTTGGGTGGTGCCCAGCGCCTGACCTGGAGAAGCACCCATGGGTGCAGAAACCCTTCTGCTGCCATGGACCAGCACCCGTAGCAAGGAGGCGATCTCCAGGCCTGATCCTTCTTCTCTCCAAGTTTTCAGGTGAAAACAGAGCCATTTATTTACCCGAATCGACGAGGGATGTGCTAAGGTAGGAGCCTGAATTAATTATGGTCCAGCCACGCAGGCGTAATGCTAGGGGGAGTGATGAGGATGGAAGTGCCCCTCGCAGGAGCTTTCTGTCTGCAGGACAACGACAGGACAAAGCTGCTCCGTGTGCCCTCGGTGTTCCCAGCTCACCAGAGCACTCAGGATTTGCCTCTTGGAGGAAAACCTCTTGGAGCAGAGCTCGCTGGCACGGCAGCTATCCAGAACGTGTTGGGTCTGGCAGCGCTTCCCAGCCCAATCCTGAGAGCTTCAGGTTGGAATTATTCAGGAGATCCTTCAACATCAACAGAAGTCTGAAATTCTTTCTGCTTTTCCCTTGTGCTCAGCATCACTTTGACCCCCCCCCTGTGGATCAGCACCGGGTTTTTTGGGCTCATCCTGGCTGCTTCAGGAGCTTGCTAGGAAAACTTCACCTGAAGTATGGCAAACCCCACAACTGGGTTCTTCCAGCAGTGGAAGATGGGTCCCTTTCTGGTGTGCAACTCCTTTCTGGGTGTATTTTTTTTCTGTTTTCACCCAAAGCTTGCTGTCAGCACAGGTTTCCTGCAGTCCTGCTTTACCTCGAGAGGCTCTCCTGGATCGTGGTGTCTCCGTACGGAAAATGCGGGCTGCAGTTCTGCTGGAATTCCACCTAAACGTTGGGTTTTCCAGGGAATCGCTGCTCAGTGAGTGTTAAAATGTTCAGTGAAGTGTCCACAGGCAGTCCCAACACACACAACTACAACTGCACAGGCTGGGGGCTCAGCTTCGTGCTCCTGGCCGTGGTGAGAACCCAAAATCAAAGGTCTGGGACCTCCCTAGGATCCTCGCCGCTTCCCTGAAGTTCTGCGTGGTAATTTCATCGGTTAATTTAATCAGTTCATCAGGGCTGTGTTGTATTCGGTGCTGTGGCAGTGAACCTGTGTTTCTGCTGGCATGGAAGGCTTTTTTCCACTCCTGGCTCCCTCTGCAAACTGGACACTCCTGCTTTTGTAGAAATACAGAGGCGGCGTTATCGGAGTGAGGTTAGTGCTTCATCACTGAAGGTGACTCTCAAACGAGGAGGAGAGGACAGATCAGACTTGTATCTGGGTCAGAAAAAGGAGAAATACGACCAAAGCTGTCGTATTTATACAACATAATACGACCAAAGAGGATATTCGTGCTCTGCCTTGGACAGGAGCTGTTCAACGTGGAAAACTCGAGACCAAAGGCACTGAAAGAAGGGATTGGCTTCGGGTGGACGCGAAGATGATGGAGAAAGAACTGGAAATCTCCAGGGCAGGAGCGGGTAGCTCTGTGGATGTGGTGTCTGCTTTAAACACGGTCTGCCAAACCTGCAGGTGTCCTGGTGGCACAGCTTAGTGGGAGAACTTCCCAGGAAGTAGCTGAGAAAAGGAAAAAACCCAAAGGAGAGAAGGCAGAGGGATGCCTGCCTCCAGCTGGTCTCCGGCCCAGAAAGCAGAAGAGGCAGCATTTAACTCAGCAGCTCTGCACGTTGCTGCTCTGTTCCGGCTGCCTCCTGCCTTCTCCTGTCCTCCCTTTGCTGCTTTTTCAGAAACTTCTCTTTTTTTTCCCACTTTAGAGAGAGGCAGGATTTAGATCTGAGCTTGGTGCTCGCCGCATCCCTCCAGTGCCTGCCATAAAGGATCCGTGACCTGCCTTAAACCCAGGGGAGCAACCACAGTGTAAATATTTGATGGAGCTGCAGCCTCCCTCCTTCGTTCTGCTTCAGTTTTCCAAGCTAAATCACAGCAAGGTTTTCCTGCAAGACACTCGTTAGCACGGGCTTGCTTCTGCAGCTCTTGCTCTTCCTTCCCGAGATCGTTCTGGTTCCGGGCATCGTTTCAGTCTTGGGTTGTATTTAGGCAAAATCCCGAGCGGTACGAGTAAACACGGGATTATATTTGTGTCACAATACGTGGAAAGAAAGGGAGCTGACTCCATATGGCAGCTCTTACCCAGATGGGAACCAAGCTGCCACTCAAACTGCGCTCGCTCCTGCTTCGGGCAGAGCTGCATCGGGGCTGCGAGGTATTTCTGCACCTCCATGGCCTGCTCGGAAGAGAAAATCCGTGTTTTCTTGTGAAATGGATTGAGTCAATACCTCGGATTTACATTTTTTTTCCTGTTTTTGTAAGCACACCTTTATCAGGAGTGGTGGCTGTTAGCTGAAGATTTCTGTAGGTTCCCACCTGGGCTTTGTAGGGCTTTGTAGAGGATGGGATGGTGATCAGGCAAAGGAAGCAAGGCTTTATTTTACCTTCTGGGAAGAAGAAAAAGACAGCAAGGTAAGATCTGGAAACCTCTTAAAGTGGTGCAGAAACGGGGGCTGCAGCAGCTTTTCTGCCAAGCAGAAGTATGAAGGGACCCAAGCAGCATCTGGGACGCTCGATCCATTTTCCTAGTGAAGTAACTGGAAAACCCAGATCTGTTTCCTTCACCCCCTCGTGTGCAGTGGGGACAGGTCCCTCACCAGGGGTTTTGGTTCCCCCCTACTGAAAGGGAAGAGTTTGGGGGCAGGATTCAGCATCCCTGAATCTGCTGAACTTGTTTTTTTGGGGTCGACGTGCTTTACTTCTATACAGCCTACAGTGCCGAGCGTGGTATGTTATAATCCCTTTATATTACTGCTTTCTAAGCTCTATTTGTGGGAGAAGGAGTGTTTTTTGGGGCTCCATCTGTCTTTAACTCAAGGTTGAGGGATGTAGCTGGAGAACGTGGCTTTGTATCTGGTAGCAGCAGCCAGAGGTGTCCCTAAAATATGAGGCATCTTCTACCATGGTGCTGTAACTCTTGAATCCACGGGGTTTTTGCCAAAAAAATAACCTTGTCTCTGCTCCCTGAATGGCTTATAAGCACAGATTAATGTTGTAACTTCGAGTTACAGAAAAACTTGGAGAAATATTTTTAAAAATAGACAAAGACTTAAACTAGGGCTTGAAATCTGTGCCTGGCGTGTATTGAAATGATCCCTGCAGCTTAGAAATCACTGAGATTTCTGGCTAATTGTGCTGATGGGCAGATCTCCTCAGTCTGAACCACAGCCTTTGTGGTCCTGCTGAGCTGGGAGTGGGATTTTTTTTTCTTGAATTTCAAGGGAAAGGCTGAGGACCCCAGGGTCAAACTGCTGCCTGCGTGTTTTAAAGGTTACGTGGCTATATATAGCAAAGCCGGGTTTTTCTGTGAAAACAGTAAGCCCAGTCCTTGTTCAGTAAATTCCAGACTTCTCTTGGTTTAAAAAATAAATAATCTTTGGCTGTTTTCTGCTATTTACCAGTGTCTCCTTTTTGCAGGATTCATGAATAAAATTTTCCATCCTAACATCGATGAAGCGTAAGTAAATCCCGTGCGCCTGTGCGGTTTTCCTGAGGATCTTATTGAACTGTAGCTGTGTCCTGGCTCTGTAAGAACATGCCAAAAAGTTAAATAATGCTTTAATCTAATCTAGCAGTCCAAAGGATGTCTTCTGAAGTCCACTTCCAGGAGTGGGCAAGGCAGGGGAGATGCGTGCTGCAGGCTCTCAGATGGGGTCTTTGCACTGTAAAGTGCCTCGCTTACACAAAATGTGGAGCTGTAAGACCCCTTCTTGGCATCGTGCTGGCTTTTTTGAAAGAGGGAATGGTTCTGGCTTAGCCACAGCTCCCTTTTCAGCTGAAGTCCACGTTCTTGATAAAATCCTTTATGGTAGAAATCAGTTTAGCCACGATTTTTAATTTCAGGTGTAAGGGGAGCCACCTACACCTCAGTCTCTCCAGTAGGTCCCCGTATGGGCCAGCTAATTCAGTAACGGCTCCAATTTGCTTCCCTTTGTGCAGAGTACAAAGATTTGTGTAGCTAAAGGCTGCCCCCCTCTTAACCACGGGACTGGAGTAAATCAGCACTTATCTGGAACAGCGGGGAGAAGGCAGGGCAGTGGAAGGGGGTAGATTGTTAAATCCCCAGGGTGTTTCTGAGTGTGGCTGTGTTTAATTCCGTCTTTCCCATATGTTTCAGGTCAGGAACTGTATGTCTAGATGTAATCAATCAAACTTGGACGGCTCTCTACGGTGAGTTTTGGTATTCCCCCAAAAATCACACGAGTATCCGTAGTTGGTGGGTTAACACAGCACAGACACAGACGACCTAAGGCTGACTCCTTTGAGTTAAATTTTGGTCTTCTCACTGGGCCAACATCACGTGAAAATAAGATTTTCATGCAAAACCACTTTTGTGACCTGCCTTTATGCCACTTCTGCAGAAGGTGACACCAAAAACTGTTTCTCGTGGCAGCACCGCTTCAGTGCAGGTTAGGAGGGGATCGTGTATCTAATAACTGCACTGCTGGCTGCAGAAGGTTTGGGGTTTCCTCTTGTTCCTGGCTGTAACTCCCCTTTGCAGGGCTATAACAAGGTCAACTGATAGTTGAAGATCCATTGAAACAGCATTTAGGGAAGGCTGAAGTTGTTTAAAAGGAATACGTTTGAGGGAAAAAAAAAAGGAATACGGTTGAGAATCTTGTCTAGGTTGGCTTTGTTCTAAAAAATATAATCTAAAAAATATAAATTTCTTCAGGTTTTCCAATCCTGTGCTATGGAAAATTATTCAAGGGAACGTGCACATCAAATCCTTCACGTTTTCCCTTGAAAGCCCAAATTTACCCCTGTTAGCTGGAGTTTTCGAGCAGTTGAACCACTTCACCTTCCTCACGAGCACAGTTTGGGAGGGAAGATTGGGCTTGGCCAGCGCTGGCTGGGAAATTGCTGTAGCAGCTTGTTGATCCTAACTCCAAACCGAAATGCCTCGAGCCCTCCTGGTGTGGCTGTGTGCTCCACGTGGAGAGGTTTCCTAATGAGTACTGCTGTATTTCTGTCATTGCTGTTGCTCAAAAAGGTAGAATAAAATACCAAGATATTTCCTTTGCTTCTGATGTATTAATATCAGCAAGCTTGCAGAAAATCTCCCGTATTTTTCCGTGTGGTATCGATGTGAGGAAACTTGGAAGTATCAGGTGAGGTTTTGGTACAGAGCACCTGGTGAAATCTGGCATTACAGGGTGAAAGTTGGCCTTACAAAGTGCATTTTCTGACAGTCCTCTCGTTGCAGGCTCCCCTTGCTTTGCTGTAGGATGCCTCAAAGCTTGCAGAGAGGGTGGAAAGGGGGAAATATTTCCCCAGAGCTTCTCAGCACAGCTGTGTTGTTGGGAGCGTCACCCCTCAGAGCACTCCTGTGCTGGCAGAGGAGCTGGGTCAGAGAATTCAAGGAGGAATTACCGTGGAAGAGCCCCAGAACAGCTACTGATAAATTCACGAGGACCTCATGGCATTAGGGAACGACCTTTTCGTTCAGGTCCTTGGTGCTGTTGTCAGGCTCCCTGCTCACATCCAACCAATCCTCGTTAAACTAACGCTGCTTGTAGTGATTGGAAAGAAGGGGAACATCCCTCAGGTCTCCTTAAAAACAATAATAAAAAAATCCCTGTGGTGTGTTGAGTGAGTCACGGTGGTTTTTAGGACTCTGCTCGGCAGCCACTGGAGTTTAGGTGTCCAGTGGCTATAAAGGGAAGCTTGATCTAAGCCTGCTCGTGGGGAGATTTGATCCAAGAGCAGGTGGCACCACAGGCTGGAGTTAACTTCTTGCTGATACGTCTGAACCCAAGCCCTAGGATGGTGAAATTTGGTTTTCCAAGGACAGGCCCCTCCCAAGGCTGTGGCAGAAAGCATTCCTGCAGCGTGCTGTCACTGTTTTTGTGGTCACTTTTTGGATTCAGATCCCTCTTCCAGTTGCTGCTGTGCTTCATCCTAGGACTGGTTGGTGGCTCTGAGTGCTCAGCATGCCACTGGTGGCAAATTTGGCCAAGGCTCTCACCCTGGGTGTGCCCTCCAGGGCTTTGTCACCATCCTGTGGTGGTGGAAGGGGCAGCAGCTTCTAATACTAGAAGATTTCAGGGCAAAATCACCAAATTTCTTAGTGGTGCTCCTGCAAAGCAGAGACCAGCTGGTTGTGACCTGTAGCAATCGATGACACCTTGATGCAGGAGGAAAGGACTGACAACACCTGGAGTCTCCCTGGCCTTAGGTAGGATCAAATCCGTTCAGAAAGCACACGTTTGTAGATCCACAGGGGATGTAAGCTTTGGGCAGCAGCAGGGACCTGCTGCATGGTTTTTTTGGAGGCTGCATCTTCAGTGGTGGGGCTGGAGCCTGGTTTTGTGTGGCTCTGATAAGATACGGAGAATATTAAAAACAGAATAATTAAAAAACAAACACGGCTCTGCCTCTATCAGCAGCTCAACCCCCCCTGGGGAAAGCGAAACGTGGCACGCAGCCCTCCTAATCCCATTTAATCTCTGCTCTGGGGGGGTCGCACAGCCCTTCTGAAGCCCCCCGAGGAGGAGGGGTGATGCAGGGCTGTGGCTGAACACCCCCCACGTGTTGTTTTAGGGACGTGGGAAGAGGGCTTCGTGCCTCCACAGCTACTCACCAGCACCAGGAGATGTTTGGTGGGGATTTAGTGACAGATGCCCACTGGCACTGCGGTGTTCCTGGGATCTCTGCATCCTGTGAAGTGGTTGGGATTGCAGAGGGGGGCTCATTGGTTGCTTTTTCCTTTAATGCAGTCGTCAGCTAAGGCCCTGTAGGTGTTCTGTGCTCGAGGTGAGTCCGTTTAGTCACGGAGCACGAGATCTGTGTAACGATTCCTACAGAGGGAGGCAGAAGTGGGAGAACTCAGCGAGGTGGGATGCAGGAATTGTGCTGGTTTTGGTTTTTCTCTCTCTTTTTTTTTAAGCCAGGGCTGAGCATGCTTCCACTGATGTTCCAGACAACTCACCTTCCACTTCTTCAGCCCCCAGATTATCTGTCTTTACATTGTAGGGATGTTCGAGTAGTTGAAATTAGCTGCAGCACATCCCCAACAGCAGCCACAGATTTCCTACCAGCCCCATGTGCTCCTTCCCCGAGTGCCCTTCTCTTTATTTTAACCTCGTGCCCAGGTTTTCAGCCTCTTTGCCCATTTTTGTGCTGCTGTTTCAGTGTCAGTGCCTGCAGGACGATGAATCCACCTCACTCTGGCTCCGTGGATGTGAACGATGTCCTTCTCTTGCAGATCTCACCAATATATTTGAATCGTTCCTGCCCCAGCTGCTGGCCTATCCTAACCCCATAGATCCTCTAAATGGTGACGCTGCAGCCATGTACCTCCACCGACCAGAAGAGTACAAACAGAAAATTAAAGGTAAGGGCACGAATAACACGCTGAGTTCATTAATAACAACGTTTATAACAGGTTTGTGCCCGTTCCTTCCCGTCACAGCAGCCCCGTTCGTTTTAAAGGGAAAGTAGCCTGAAATAAGGGGTGGGTGATTTGATACTGCTTCAAGATGGTATGTGTGGTGTGCAGTGTGTGGGCAGGGTTTTAACTCGTTGGCAGATCCTAAGCAGGGAGGTAAGCATAGTAGGTTAGGATTCAATGTTGTTTTTTGGAGATTGGGGAAAAAAGATAGGAAGAAAAGGTATTTTGCTGAAGAAAGGGACAAGGAAAAGTGCTCAGATGGAAATATCCGGCTCCCAATTACTGAATAAAAGTGCTTGTTAGCAGTTCTGTGGAAATGTGGCAGAGCAGGAGTCAAAGAATCAATGATACCACTGCAGAAAGGCCTTCTGTGGGGTGACAGAGCAGGAATTCTCAGTAAATGCCAAGTGAATCCTTCGCTGGTGCTGCCTCCTCCAGCTGAGGCTTGGGGTTTGGACGTGTCAAAGGGACCTTCAAAGAGGAAGGGAGTGACTTCTCCTGGGGTCACCGGGAGCAGGATGTGGTCACAGGCTTCCAACTCAGCTCGGGGAGCCCAGGCTAAGCATTAAAAATGGCTGGGGAGGATGGGTGAGCCCTGGGAGAGCCTGTGAGGGTGCTGCCGTGTCTGCCTGCGGAAGGAAAATGAAACCAGTCAAAAATAAAGAGCCAGTAGCTCCTGGGGACCGGGGAAGGGTCCCAGTAAGGGCTCTCATGGATGAGAGTGAGGATAGAAAGACTAATCTGGCCAAGCTGAGACCCAAACTGAATTAGTTTTGCTTCTGAAACCTGAGAAATGAGAGAAAATAAGAATACAGGTGCTTGGCCTTCCTCTGAATCAGCTGCACGTAGGTAAGAGAGGAGGAAATGAGCCAGTGGCAAAAGCTGTTGGCTTTTTATCCCTCAATCCAGTGATCACAATCAGTGTTTAACCTGGAAGTTGGTAATTTACAGCCTTTGGTCTTCGGATTTGACCAAATTCTTTGGATTTGGTCTTCAGCTAAGTTTTGAATAGAGATCACGGCCAAGTTTTGGGGTTTTTTTTTTGGTCCCTGAATAACCACGAGACTTTGTTTGCCTGGGGGAGCCCAGCCAGCGGGGTGTGCAGGGCCTGCTCGGCCAGGAGAGCATCCTCCAGCAGCACGATCTGATAGTCCTTCTGTGTGAGATGGGGCAACAAAGCCCCAACAGAGCATTGCAACATCCCTCCCGTGTCCCGAGAGCGTGGGCACACCAGAGAGCTGTGGGATTTGGCGGAGGAGCCCTTTCATCAGGGCTGCCACGTCACGCCGGAGCGGTTAAACCTCGAGTTGTTTTTGTTCTGATGCAAAATGACCCTTCATCAACTGCGGGGTGTGTGTTTTTTTTTTTTTTTTTTTGAGGGTGGGACTCCAAATGAGGTGAAGCCAAGCTGTGATTTCAGCGCTGAGTTATTCAGCACGCTTTGCTCGACTCCTCTGCCAGCTGCGTGACAAGATCATAGGAGCTACCCTGCAGAGCTGGCCTGTTCGGGATCCTCAAGTCCATTGCCTTTTTCTTTTTCATACAAACAAGCTTCAGGCAAAGTGGTTTGTCCCAGGAAATCTCCAGGGTCAGCGTGAGGGATGTTTTGGGTGCCCTCTGTGCTTTAATGAACCGGGGGGAAAAATATCCAGCATTTTTCCAGCACCCTGGTAAAATGGGACTGATGGTAGCCAGCAGCAGGTGCTGCAAGGAACATGCTTACACATCCTACAGGAGGCTAAATAGGGCAGTCTGCTCCCTCCTCTCCGTCCCAAAAGAAAGACACAGCCCGTGAAGATGATCAGGAAGGAGTTTGAAGGAGTTGAAACACGTCTCGTGGTCCGTGCACCCAAGAGCCCTGCCTCTGCTGTCTCTTCCCAGGCTTGCGTGACAAGCGGAGCAGAGCGAAACGTTGCTGCTCCTTATTGTCGTGTTCTTAAAAATAGCCCTGGACATGTAAAAACCGAGGCAATGGATTGTAACAGCTCTGCTCCGGGAAGCTCAGGATTGCAGATGCATAATTTATCGCTGCTTTTCTTCATTTTTTAGTGATGAGCGCATGGAGCAGTAGCGAGGAGGCAGGCGTAGACTTAGAGATGTTGCACAAGGTCTGGAGCCGCCGTGATCCTTGGTGTGAGCCCTAAACAGATCAGGATTTATTGTGGGAGGTGTAAATATTTGATATTGCTGATACAGAGCTGGAAAATGGGATGCTTAGCTTGAGAGCCTTTACATTCATCAGTGGACACAACCACGTCCTCCCTTTTTTTTTTTGACAGTCCTCATCAGGGTGCCTTGTCTTATGGCTGGGGTGGGCTCCAGACAGGCAAAAATGGCTCAGGATTCGCTTCTGTTGAGCTGTTAACCCCCTCGTGTCTTCCTTTTGCCTTCTCTTTGGTAGATCTAGCATGAAAGCTGCTTCGGGGAGGGCAGGGTGGTGAGCAGCAGCAGTCAAAGGGCGCTGAGGGCGGGTTGGATGTTGGTGCTGGGAGCAGCTCTCCCATCCTGCCTGGTGGCTGTGAGGTTCCAGCGTGGCTGTGCTGGTGTTTTGAAGAGCTCACAGGCGTGCCCCAGCCACGGGGCATAACCACAGCTCCTTCTTCTTGCCCCAGGGTTTCAAAACAGATGGATCCGAGTGGAATTTCCCCGGTAGGGATGGGTACATCAAGGCTTTTCTTTGGGGATTTGAAGGGGAAGATGGTTTCTCAGTATTATTTAGGTGTTTCCGTGTCCTTCCCTTAATATCTTCCCTTAATAGACTGAAGATCCAAGTTCAGTACAGCGTTCAGCACAAAAGCTCCCTGGAAGCTTGACCTTTCTCAGGTTAAACCTCCAGAAAAGCCCAGCCAGGGCCTGGTCGTTTCCTGGGCAGAAGATGGCATTTTACATTTGACGTGCTTTTAAGTCTCATTTTATCTGAAACAATTTAGGTTCAGGCAGTTTCCTACAGTAAGAAATGGTGGCTTCTGTGTCTAAATCAGCAGCTGGAGAACACTCGAAGCAGGCAGTGAAGGAGCACTTCTGGCCCCTGTCCTGCCATCCTAGGTGGGTTTGGAGTAAGCGTGGAGTGAATCTGATCCTGAAGTTCCCAGGAAGAGGTTATCTCTGTCATCCAGGACATCCCAAGGTTTGCAGCTAGGGAACTTTGGTTCCCTTTGGATTGTGCACAAGAAATAATAGCTTATCTGGGAGATCAGTTCCTGGAAAGCTCCAGGGAGTGGCTGCAACAGGGACGTGTCCTGTTGGCATCCATCCCATCTCCTTATCTCTGCTCGTCATCTGCTGCCCACCCACCCATGTAAATCTTCTGAGGGCAGGATGCTTTTTTTATTTTGCATCCCTCTTTCAGTCGCTTCCTCTCGTCTTTAAATGCAATTAGTTCTGCTGCTTCGTTTTCTTTCACCTTGCAGTGTCCATCTCTTTTGGCAGATGCCCCAGACTCTGCGGCCCCTGATCTCTACTACAGGTAGGAGATGTGATCAGGCAGGACCTAAGCACCATCACCACAGTCCAGCACCTCCTGAGAAGGGGATTTTCAGTGCCCAGAACCCGAGGACGGAGGACAGGGGCGCTTTTCTGTCCCCGTTATGTGCTCCAAGATCCCAGCAGCACCCTGAGCCTCTGCGGCGCGTGGCGAGGCCTTGAGTGCTCCCTGCTTCCTACTGTTTACAGAGCTGCCTTTAATACTTTATCACTTCTTACAACTTCTTGTAAAACAGATTTGAACAGCAGCTTCTGCAGGCTGAGTGAGTTAATAATGTATCTTAAACAGTCAGAGTGAAACTACATGCGTCATTAGACACAAGCTCTTTGGTCACAGAAAGCTTTTCCAAGGCAGAGCTGATCTGTTGAGGCCACCAGCTGCTCCGTCCTGGGGACCGTGAGGATTTGTCCTCAGGTTCTGCCCGTACCATCCTCCTGGGCCTGGAGGAACTGCCTGAGCTTCGTGTCCCTGTATCAGCTCCAGAAATGGAGTCTTAATGCAGTCTTTAAAAAGCCCGATCTTTGAAACCTGTGCTTTAGGATTTAAAAATATTAAGTGTGTCCTCCTGCAGCTCTGCAGTGCATCCCCCTGCCGATGGGATATGGAACAAAAAACTTCTGTGCTCCTGGAGGAGGTCCTTGTGCACCTCCTTCCCTTCTGTTCCTGGGGAGAAATAAAAGAATTCTTGATTTGGAAGGCTGCTGAGGCTGGTACGTGGCACGTTGCCATGCAGGGACTCATCCTTGAGCACGAAGGGCTGGTGGAATTCCCCTCATTTTAGGGTTTTATCATTGCTATTTGGGGAAAGCTTTGCATTTTAGGACCTTCGTGTCTGGAAGGAAGACAAGTTTGCAGAAATGCGGGGTGGAAGAGGTGCTGTCGGGATGTTTCTTCACTTGTTTGTGCTCTGAAGCTGCTTTTTCAGCACGGATGCGCAGCAAGAAGGCTTTCTCTGCCGAGATAACCTCCGTGCTGAGGACACCAGCACCTCCTTGAGCCTCGGAGGGGCTGCTCCAGGAGGAAAAGGGGGCGTGCTTTGGGTTTTCACTTCAAACAAACCCATTCCCGCAGTAGTTTTCTGCTTTTTCTCTATCCATTCTTCCTCAAACTCCACTTAGGCACGGTCTCTCCCATCCCAAACGGGGGACACCTGGTTTGTTCTGAGATTTCTTCTCTTCCTCCTCAGTCTCAGGTAGGTTTTGGTGACTCCTGTCCTGTGCTATCAGGTCAAACCTTCAGATCCTAATTTTTTAAAGCCAGGCTACGTACTAGTGACACCTCGATGGCTTTTAGGCTCGTTCTGTCACCATGGAAGCTTCTCCTTTGGCAGTAAAAGCAATCCTATTACAGTAAGTGTGAAAGAAACTCCACGAGGGACAACTTGGGGTGTTTCTAGCAGTGTGTGTGCATGTACCAGTGGTGGGGGAGCGTGGAGACAGCACATTTTCAAGGATTTTCAGCACATTTTCAAGGATTTTCAGCACATTTTCAAGGATTTTCAGCACAATTTCAAGGATTTTCAAAGATCGTGCATGTCTCTGATTGCCTTTTGGTGTTTTTATCCCGTGTTGCTGAACAATTCTGCCTTTGGGCAGAGGAATATGATCATCCCGCAGTAACCCCTATAACCCACACGTTAGCCCTAGCTTAGCCACCCTCTCCCTGTTGAATATATGCTGTTTTAATGCCTTCTCTTTTCTGTCACACGCAGAATACATCCAGAAATATGCAACAGAAGAAGCACTAAAAGAACAGGAAGAAGGCACCGGGGACAGCTCATCCGAGAGCTCCATGTCCGACTTCTCGGAAGATGAGGCTCAGGATATGGAGTTGTAGTAGAAGAGGCCACCTGCTTTTCAGAGAGACTCTAATTTCCTAACCATGAGAAGCAGACTATAATATTCATATTTAAACAAAGCAATTTTTTTTATTACTAAACAAGGTTTTTATGAATAATAGCATTGATATATATATATATATATCACCCTTTAGATCTTGATTTTTTTTTTTTTTGTTGTTGTTCCTTGGTCATTTCTCAAACCCGAGGTGCATAGCATATTCCCACATTCCATTTTGGTAGCAATATGCAGCCCGAATGCATGCATTCAGATTCCATTTGGCCAAGTCGACTTGTTGTGCTACTGAACTGTCAGCTACAAACAGCTGCCCTGGGAGGTAGGGAGGTAGCCGAGACGTTTGCTTTTTCTGATCGATGGTTTCCAAAGACACCACCTTGGATGCTGACGTGGAACAGCGTTTTTTTTTTTCTCAAAAAGTGACAAAAAAAAAAAAATAATCTGGGGGATAATATACTAACCGTGTAGATCAGACAGTGGAATAAAAGGTGCTCCTTCAGGTCAACCTTGCTGATCGTATTTTGTGTGGAGTCACGTTTAGGGAGAGAAAAAAAAGAAAAAAAAAGAGTAAGTAAAAAACCACCACAAATGCATGGAGCTATTCAGAGCCTTGGAGCTTAAGGATTTTGACTTGGATTTTCAGTCCGTTTTCATACGTGGACTCCTGCCTGCCCTTCTGAACTGTAGGGACTGACAACCACTGGTCGAGTTGCTCTTGGGACTTTTTTTGAAAGCCTTCATCTGGATGTTGCTCACTTTTCTTGGTCTGGATTACGAGCTGTTCCCTTCTCGGGAGGAAAAAACAAACAAAAACCACACAAACAATGCTCTCTAAGCAGTGCTTTGATTTAGCTGGAGCACAGGTGAAGTCAAACTCTTCCTTTTGTCCTAGGTTTGGGAACTGCTGCCCTTTAACGGCTTCAAGTTTTTGCTTTTCCTCTTGCTTGAAGTATGGTTAAACACCTCGCCAACACCTCTGTCCCCTAGGAGGGTTCTCTGACCAGATGGATTTGCCTTGCTGAGAGCTTCAGATCCACGAAGATTGGCCCCGTTGGCTGTAGTCCACGAATCCATCGGCACTGATTTTATTTTCCTCCTTTTGTTTTTTTTTTTTCCCCCACCCCACCCCCCACCC